CAAATTGGCAAACCTGGAAGAAATGGATAGATTCCTAGACACATATGACCAACCAAAATTCAGTCATGAAGACAGAAAACATAAACAGACCAATTACCAAGACAGAAATTGAATCAGTAATAAAGTCCCTCCCAAAAAAGAAAAGCCCAGGACCAGATGGCTTCATGCTGTATTAAAAGAACAGACATTAAAAGAACTAATTTCAATTCTCAAGCTATTCAAAACAATTGAAAGGGAGGAAATCTTCCCAAACTTCTTCTATGCAGCCAGAATCATCTTATTTCCTAAACCAGAAATAGATACAACAAAGAGAACTATAGCTCAATATCTCTGATGAACTTAGATGCAAAAATCCACAACAAAGTACTAGCTAATTGATTCCAACAACACATCAGAAAGACCATTCACCCGGACCAATTGGGACTTACCCCAGGTATGTAGGAATGATTCAACATTCACAAATCAGTAAATGTGATACATCACATTAACAAATTGAAGAATTAAAGCCATATAATTTATTTTGATGGGTGCCGAGAAAGCATTTGATAAAATACAACATTCTTTCGTGATAAAATCCTCAAGTACATTGGGTTTAGAAAGACCATGTCTCAACAAAATCAAGGCAATTTATGACAAACCCATAGCCACCATCATATTGAATGGGGAAAATTTGGAAGCATTTCCACTAAGATCTAGAAACCAGTCCAAGATGCCCACTTCCACCATTGCTATTCAATATAGTCCTGGAAGTTTTAGCCAGAGCCATTAGGCCACAAAAAGAAACCAAAGAGATACAAATTGGGAAGGAGGAAGTTGAACTTATCCCTGTTTGTAGATGACATGATTCTATATATAAGGGATCCAAAAAGCTCCACTGAGAGACTAGTGGAACTCATAAAAGAGTTTGGTAAAATGGCTTAACTTAAAATTAACACAAAAATCAATAGCCTTTGTATACATAGACAATGCCATGGCTGAAAAATAACTTTCAAAATCAATCACATTCATAATAGCCACAAAAAATTAAACAGCTTGGAATAAATTTAACCAAGGATGTTAAAGATCTCTATGATAAAAATTACAAAACATTAAAAAAAGAAATGAAGACAGAAGAAAGTGGAAAAACCTTCCATGTTCATGGACTGGAAGAACTGATATCATCAAAATGTCCATACTGCTGAAAGACATTTATAGGTTTATGTGGTCCCAATGAAGATACCAATGACATTCTTCTCAAATCTAGAAAAAAAGATGCTAAAATTCAAATGGAAACACAAGAGACCCTGAATAGCTAAAGCAATCTTATACAACAAAAACAAAGCCAGAGGCATTACAATACCAGATTTCAAAATATCCTACAGGGCAGTTATAATCAAGTCAACCTGATACTGACACAAAAACAGATGTGGAGATCAATGGAACAGAATAGAAACTCCAGAAGTCAATCCATGCATCTACAACCAAGTTATATTTTACCAAGGAGCTAAAATCAACCCCTAGAGCAAGGACAGTCTCTTCAACAAATGGTACTGGGAAAACTGGATCTCTGCATGCAGAAGTATGAAACAAGACCCCTACCTTACACCTTATACAAAAATCCACTCAAAAATAGGTCAAGGATGCAAATCTATGACCCAATATCATCAAATTACTAGAAAACATTGGGAAAACTCTGCAACACATTGGTGTAGGTAAAGAATTCTTGGAAAATACCCCAGAAGCACAGGCAATCAAATCCAAAGTTGGCAAATGGGATTTCATCAAGCTAAGAAGCTTCTGCACTAAAAAATAAACACTCATCAAAGAGGCAACCAACAGAAATGGGAGAAAATATCTCCAAACTATGCAACTAATAAAGGATTAATATCCAAAATCTATAAAGAGCTCAAGAAACTCAACAACAACAAAACAAGCAACCCAGTTAAGAAACAGGCAAAGGACTTGAACAGGCATTTTTAAAGAAAGGAAATTCAGATGATCAACAGACACATGCAAAAATGTTTGGATCACTAACCATCGGGGGAATGCAAATCAAAACCATAATGAGGTTTCACCTCACCCCAGTTAGAATGGCTCTCACACAGAAATCAACAACAAATGTTGGAGTGGATGTTGGGATACAGGTACCCTAATCCACTGTTGGTAGGAATGTAAACTTGTGCCATTGTGAAAGACAGTATGGAGATACCTTAGAAATCTGAATATAGGCCTACCATATGATCCAGTCATCTCACTCCTGGGAATTTATCCAAACTATATAAAAGAGTTTTCTGGGGCAGGTGCTCTTGCACAGCAGGTTAAAGCCCTGGCCTGCAGTGCTGGCATCCTATATGGGCACCAGTTTGAGTCCCGGCTCCTCCACTTCTGATCCAGCTCTCTGCTATCACCTGGGAAAGCAGTAGAAGATAGCCCAAGTCCTTGGGCCCCTGCACCCACATGGAAGATCTGGAGGAAGCTCCTGGATCCTGGCTTTGGATCAGCTCAGCTCTGTCCATTGCAGACATTTAGGGAGTGAACCAGTGGATGGAAGACCTTTCTCTCTCTCTCTCTCTCTTTCTCTCTCTCTCTCTCTGGTTCTACCTTTCTATATAACTCTGTCTTTAAAATAAATAAAAATAAATCTTTGAAAAAAAGAGTTTTCTATACCTCTATGTTTATTGTAAGTCAGTTCACAATAGCTATGATATGGATCAACCCAGATTTCTATCAACTGATGACTGGATAAATAAATTATTGTGTATATACCCTATACCCAGCTTCAAAAACAAACAAACAAACAAAAAGAAATCCTGTCTTTTGCAACAAAATGGATACAAGTGGAAATCATTATACTAGTGAAATAAGGCAGTCCAAAAATGACAGATATCATATGTTTTCCTTGATCTGGGGTAACTAATAGAATACCTAAAATTTAATGTAAGAGAGTAAAATGGATATTTTGAAATTCAATGATTGTTTACAGCCCTTGTCTCTACTATTGAGGAACAATGTTTTTTTTTTCATACTATTTGTTGAACTCTTTATTTACTATAGGGTTAACCTTATGATTATAAAGTAACTGAAAACATCTTTGAAAAAATTAAGAGTGGGAATAGAAGAGGGAGGAGGAAGAAGGGTTGGAGTGTGGGCGGGAAATAGGATAGGGTAGGAAGTATCACCATGTTCCTGAGTCTCTATATACATGAAATACATTAAAGTTGTAGACTTTAAATAAAATTAATAAATGAAACTTGGATATTTTAGGTTCATATTATGAGATTCCAGACACTGCTTCAGCTGGGAAATGGGTTGACATTGCCTCATTACTGTCAGTTGATGGCAAAATTTGTTTTTCTACTCTGTCCCATTGAAACCAGGAATAGGAGTTTGAGGGCTGGGAACACCTATCTATTGACAAGCGGAGATAGGAATTCAGGCTCCCCGCCTGGTATCCACTGACACCATTTGGAGATAGCCTTAATTGCTGAGCAGTGATCAAAGTTCTAAGTAACCTCTTTTATTCTCCTTTCATTCCACATCAATTAAGAGGAGATGGGAGCCTCATTACAGTAGGGCAAGTCTCTACTTGACCTCTACTGAGGGGAGTAGAGGTAGAGGTCACAATTTTTCTATGCCATCTGGTTGTGTAGACTGGTTAGTGTCTAAAATTTTTCTGTCTTGCTGGGTTGCACTTTTCTAGGTCCTTAATACAGAGCAGGATTTTCTTAGGGCTCTTCTGGCATTGATGTTTCTGGATTGCTGGCTTCTCTAGTATACATGTTGGTATATATATGACAGAATAGCCCAGGAAACTCACCACCATGTTAACTGTTAGGTCACTAGGTCCCTAACTCATCTTCTTTCTGCTCTCTACCTTTGAGAGTCTTACGCTTTGCGTATAACATCTAGGATTTTTAGCTGTATTCAGTGGAAGACGTAGGGAAAATTACAACTACTCCATCTCTCCAGAGCACAACTCGCTTAAAGTTACTCTTTTCATTTTGCAAAATATCCCAAGTTTGTAAAATAAAGTTGCCTAATAACAACATTGTAAGTTGAATAATTAACTTAAAAGAACTAAAAAAAAAAAAAAAAACCTTAAGTGGATCCTATCTTTCAATGAAAGTCAAAGACAAGGGGTGGGCGCTGTGGCTCAGTAGGTTAATCCTCCACCTGAGGCACTGGCATCCCGTAAGGGTGCCAGTTCTAGTCTCGGCTGCTCCTCTTCTGATCCAGCTCTCTGCTGTGGCCTGGGAAAGCAGTGGAAGATGGTCCAGATCCTTGGGCCCCTGCATCCATGTTGGAGACCTGGAAGAAGCTCCTGGCTTCAGATCAGCACAGCTCTGGCCGTTGCAGCCATCAGGGAGTGAACCAGCAGATGGAAGACATCTCTCTCTCTCTCTCTCTCTCCTTGTCATTGTCTGTAACTCTATCTCTCAAATAAATAAATAAATAAAATCTTTAGAAGAAAAAAACAAAGTCAAAGACAAACATTTGCATTCTTATTCCAATCCCATTTGTCGCATAATGATTGACAAATGAATTAAATTTGCATTTTTATCTGAAAATACATTTTTCTTCCTGCTCTGTTAATTTTAAAATATATACACCTCCCACCCTTCAAATATCATACTCCTCCTGGCCTTCCTAACCTTTGGTTATGATCTCTATAACATACACTACTTTCTTTCACTAGCTCTTATATTTCCAATCCAGCTTAGTGTGTTTTCTTCACCAAGAGGTTTCCTTTAACGTCAACTTTATGTTGGATGCCCCACCTACATGATCCCAGGGAGTTTTGCTTTTCCCTATCAGCACTTACTACCCTGTACTGTAATTGTCTACTGAACATTTTCTTTCCTGTTAGCTTCCTAGGAGAGGGAAGGAGCTAAATCTAAATGTTCCTACTTATAGCATAAGCAGCAAATTGTGTTTCTCATGCCTTAGTCATACATAGCAACTTAACAAATATTTGTCAAATAAATGGACTATTTTTAACTTGATTTTCTCTTTGTATCTAGGAATGATCAAGTAGAAGAACCTCAGCTCTCTGCCTGGTTTAATTCTAAGTATGAACAAAAAATTCAACTCATAATATAATAACAATGATATAATTCAGTTTAAAGACATATGTTTGGCTTTTCTGTCATCAAATTGCAGCTATCTTGGGAAGTCTCTAGGGCTTAAAGTTGTTACTTTTGGCCGGCATCGCAGCTCAATAGGCTAATCCTCTGCCTGCAGCGCCAGCACCCCAGGTTCTAGTCTCGGACAGGGTGCCAGATTCTGTCCCAGTTGCTCCTCTTCCAGTCCAGCTCTCTGCTGTGGCCCAGGAGTGCAGTGGAGCATGGCCCAAGTCCTTGGGCCCTGCGCCCGCATGGGAGACCAGGAGAAGCACCTGGCTCCTGGCTTCGGATCAGCGTGGTGTGCCAGCTGCAGTGCGCTGGCCGCAGCGGCCATTGTGGGGTGAACCAACGGAAAAGGAAGACCTTTCTCTCTGTCTCTCTCTCTCACTGTCCACTCTGCCCATCAAAAAAAAAAAAAGTTGTTACTTTTAAGGCTTTTTATATTGGGTCTTTTATAGGGTCTATTTTATCAATAATCAGACAACTAAGGGTTGTAATAAGAAAGCTATAGCACTCTATCTGATTTAACACTTCTGGTATTAGTAAGGGAAAAGAAAAAAATGTCTTTAGAAGCAACCTGAAATTCTGAAATTTCCATTAATGACACCTTTTTAAAAGATTTACTTATTTGAAAGTCAGCATTACAGAGAGAGAGAGAGAGAGAGAGAGAGAGAGAGATCTTTTATCTGCCAGTTTACTCCCCAGATGGCCATAATGCCTGGGGCTGGGCCAGACTTAAGCTAGGAGCCAGCAGCTTTCTCCAGGTCTCCCACACAGGGAGTAGGGCCCAAACAGTTGGGCCTCTTTTGTTTGTTTCCTAGTCACATTAGTAGGGAGCTGGATAGGAAGTGGAGCAGCTAGGAATAGAACTGGCGTCCATATGGGATGCCACTGTTGTAGGCAGCAGCTTAACCTACTGTACCAATGCCAGCCCCTAATGACACCTCTTGATTTTGCCATTAACACTCAGGGAAAACTTCATTCTTCTCAATGGTCTTGTAATATTTCCTTTAACATGTATCAAATCTGTTTAGTCAATTTTCTATTGATTTTGTATTATTTACAATTTGGGGGCTATTGTAAATGTTTCAGTGAACATTCACGTATATATATTTTTGTATATCATTGTATGAATTTATCTGTCAGATAAATCCTTTGGGTGGAATCATCAGTTATAATGATGTATATTTTGATTCAAGTTGATAAATTGCCCTTTAAAAATTGTACCATTCATTTGTTAATCTACAGTGGATAAATGTTAGTAATATTTTACTTGTTTTATTTATTCACTCTATATTAGTCTAGTAATATCAAACATTTTGTTATTGGCAAAATAGTTGAAATATCTCAATTCAATTTGCATTTCTTTATTATAGAGTTTGAGCTTATTTTTCCTTCTTAAACTTTTTTGTTTTTAACTGATACAAAATTTATATATATTTATGGGTACCATGTGATGATTCAATACATGTATACATTGTATAATGTTCAGATTAGGGTAAATATACGTATATTTTCAGATATTTATCATTCCTTTATGTAGAAAGCATTCAAAGTCCTTTCTACTAGCTTTTGAAATACACAGTATTTTATTATTAACTATAGTCATCCTATGTACATCATAACATCATAACTTCTTTCTCCTATCTAACTGTACCTTAGTGCCCATTAATCAACCTTTCCCCATCTCTCCCTCCCTCCTCTTTCCAACAGCTGGTAACCATCATTTTACTGTCAACTTCTATAAGATCAAATATTTCAATTCCACATATGAATGAGATAATGAAGTACTTGTTTCTCTGTGCCTGGCTTATCTTGCTTAACACAATAATCTCCAGTTTCAGTCATATTGTCTCAAACAACAGGACTGCATCCTTTTATTGCTGAATAGTATTCCATGGTATATAAGTACCACATTTTCTTTACCCATCCAGCAGTTATGGAAACTTAGATTGTTTCTATTTCTTGGCTATTGTGAATAGTGCTACAATAAACATAACTGTAGATTTCTCTTCAATAGACTGCTCTCATTTCCCTTGAGCATATACCTAGTAGTGGGACTGATGGAACCTCCATACTGTTTTCCACAATGGCATTGCTAATTGGCATACCTGTCAACAGAGTGCAGGGTTCTCTTTTCTCCATATCCTTGCCAGCACTTGTTATTTTTTGGTAATAGCCAGTCTAACTGGAGTGAGGTGATATGTCACTGTGTGCTTTTTAAAAATTTATTTGAAAGGCAAAGAATGAGAGAGAGAGAGAGAGAGAGAGAGAGATTCTATCTGCTGATTCACGCCTCAAATGTCTGCGATGACTGGGAATGGGCTTGGACAAAGCTAGAAGCTTTGGAAATCAAAGCAAGTCTTCCATGAAGGTGGCAGGAACTCAATTACTTGCAGCATCTCTGCGGCCTCCCAGGGTCTGCATTAGCAGGAAGCTGGAGCCAGGAGACAGAACAAGATATGAAACCCAGGCACTCTGACATGAGATCTGAACACCTTAACCAGCATCTTAACTGTTAATCCAAATACCCACTCCTTCACTGTGACTTTGATTTGCATTTCCATATTAGTGAAGTTGAGCAGTTCTTTGTGTCCCTGTTGGCTATTTGAATGTCTTCCTTTGAATAATGGCTATTTGGATCTAGTGCTGGTTTTAAAATTGAATTATTTGTTTTTTGGCTAGTAAGTTGCTTTAGTTCCTTATATATTTGAGTTATTAACCCATTGTCAGAAGCATAATTTGCAAATATTTTCTCCCATACTATAGAATGTCTCTTCACTCTCGTTTCTTTTGCTATTCAGAAGGTTTTTGGTTTGATAATATCCCATTCTATCTTTTTGTTTCATTTTTAATTTTATTTTAATTTTAACATATTCAACATAATTTACAGACCCAAGTCTAAGAACTTAATGATATTTTATCCTTGTCTGTCCTTCTCCTTCCTTCTACCTTTAATTCATTTTTTAGTTTTTGAGAGAATACATTTTAAATTTACTTCACAGTAAAAAGGCTTATATTTCTCCAAAGAAGTTTTAACAAGTAAAAAGCAAAAAGATCCTAGTTTAGTGAGAGTATACATAATGGCTATAAATAATAATTGAGTGGGAAAATGACCATTTCACCCATACACGGTTTTCCTGTCAATTAATCATTCATAATTTCTTTAGATAAAATAGAACCAATGACAATGTAACATCTAAATACTTTCTGTGTGGCTACAAGATAATAATTAAGATCATTCAGGCAGGCCGGCGCCGTGGCTCACTAGGCTAATCCTCCGCCTTGCGGCGCCAGCACACCAGGTTCTAGTCCCGGTCGGGGCGCTGGATTCTGTCCCAGTTGCCCCTCTTCCAGGCCAGCCCTCTGCTGTGGCCCGGGAGTGCAGTGGAGGATGGCCCAAGTCCTTGGGCCCTGAACCCCATGGGAGACCAGGATAAGTACCTGGCTCCTGCCATCGGATCAGCGTGGTGCACCGGCCGCCGCAGCACACCAGCCGCGGCGGCCATTGGAGGGTGAACCAACGGCAAAGGAAGACCTTTCTCTCTGTCTCTCTCTCTCACTGTCCACTCTGCCTGTCAAAAAAAAATCATTCAGGCTTTAAGCCATTTTCTCTCAACAGTTTATGCACAGGAATAATTTTATGCAGATTGCAATGCAAATAATCACACATTTTTGGTATTCTATTAATTACCACAGATCAGAGAAAATTTATGGTATCTGTCTTTTTGGGACTGGCTTATTTCACTAAGTATAATGGTTTCTAGTTGTATCCATTCTGTTTCTAAAGACAGGATTTCATTTTTTATGGCTGAGAAATATTCCATAGTGTGTACATACCATATTTTCTTTATCCAGTCATTATTTGATAGGCATCTGGGCTGATTCTATATCTTAGTTACTGTAAATTAAGCTGCAATAAACATGGGGGTATAGGTAACTCTTTTATATGTTGATTTCATTTCATTTGAGTAAATTCCCAGGAGTGGGATGGCTGGGTCATATGGCAGATCTATTTTCAGCTTCCTGAGGAATCTCCATACTGTCTTCCACAATGACTGCACTAGCTTACATTCCCACCAACAGTGCATAAGGTGCCTTTATCCCAGCATCCTCACCAGCATTTACTTGTTCGTTGATTTCTGTATGAGAGCCGTTCTAACTGGGGTGAGGGAAACCTTATTGTGGTTTTGATTTTCATTTCTCTGATAGTGATCCCGAGCAATATTTCAAGTCTCTGTTGACCAACTGAATTTCCTCTCTTGAAAAATGCCCATTCAAGTCCTTTGCTCACTTTTAACTGGATTTTTTGTTTTGCTGTTGTTAAATTTCTTGAGTTCTTTATAGATTCCAGATATTAATCGTTTATCAGTTGCATGGTTTGCAAATATTTTCTCCCTTTAGGTCAATTGCCTCTTCACTTTGTTAAGTGTTTCCTTTGCAGTGCAGAAGCTTCTTAGCTCAATGTACTCTCATTTGTTTATTTTTGCTTTGTTCCAATTCTTCTCAAACTATTCAAAATAATTGAAAGGGAGGGAATCCTCCAAAACTTTTTCTATGAGGCCAGCATCATCTTAAATCTAAAACCAGAAAAGATACAAGAGAACTATAGATGAGAAATCCTCAACAAAATATTAGCTTATTGACTCCAATAACACATTGTATGGCCAGTGCTGTGGCGTAATGGTTTAGGCAATTGTCTACAATGCCAGCATCCCATATGGGCACTGATTCACTTATTGATTGCTCTTCTTCTAATCCAACTTCCTGTTAATGCAACTGAGAAAGCAGAAGAAGGTCAGAGTCCCTGGGCCTCTGTACCCATGTGGAAGACCTTGGTGAAGCTCTTGGCTCCTGGCTTTGGCCAAGACCAGTCCTGGTAATTGTAGCAATTTGGGGAATGAAACAGCAGATGTAAAATCTCTTTCTTTCTGTTTCTCTTTATCTCTCTGTAACTCTACCTTTCAAATAAATAATAAATCTTTTTTAAAATTTTTTAATTTATTTTTATTTATTTATTTATTTGACAGGCAGAGTGGACAGTGAGAGAGAGAGAGAGTTTTATATATGTATATGTATATACATATATATATGTATATGTATACGTATACATATATATAAAACTTATATATAAAACTTATATACTTACATATATGTAAGTATATAAGTTTTATATATGTATATGTATATACATATATATGTATATGTATACGTATACATATACATATATATAAAACTTATATATATAAAACTTATATATACTTACATATAACAACTTAGTGTTGTTTTATATATATATGTATATATATATATATATATATATATATATATATATATAACTTCTTCCTGAGAAGCTATATGGAAAATATTGTACTTTTTGATTAGGTCACCTTGTGTCTTGCTGAATGTCATCTGCTCAGGCCTTTTTCAGTGCTATCTAACCTTCTAACATACCAAATCTGTCAGGGTATAGAAGAAGCAACTCAAGTGAGGTATAGTAACTTTAATCATAGGATTGTTTGCAGAGATTTGAGCAAGATTTAGAGATCCAACAAGGGATACGGAGATACTCAGAGACTTACAACAATAGGAAGCTATAACTCCCTTAGGCCCAAAGGAAAGATGATAATACTGGAGACCAGGAAAGAAAAGCCACCAATATAAGTTATAGGTTTAGAAGGCCTGGTCACTGTCAACATTTCAACAAAACTAGAGGGAGAGGAGGAAGATAACCCAACCTCTTTATCTTCCTGTCTTCTACCTTATTCTGGTGCCTGCCATTAGCAGAACCCATTGGAGGCCACAGATGAAGGCATTTGGGTGATCAGCCTGCTTTCAGAGCTTACAGCCAGGCACAGCAGGGGTGGTGATGGACAGGGAGAATAATAAACACAATCCCCCCTTTTGCCATTCCTTAACCTTCACTTAAGGACAAAGCCATGTTCCCAAAACAGAAGGAACACAAATTCCCATCAGCTACTGAATAGCCTCAAGTTATTTGGAATTCAGTCATAATCCCATTTAGAACCTAAACTGTAATATTAGCCATCTCCAGTTTTCTTCATAGAAGGTAACAGGGAAAGGCAAGAAAATAACTAACATAACAGATCACTGCTACAGTCCCACTTCTGTTGCTGTTCAGACGGATGAGAGTAAAAAGAAGTAATTAATAATCAGTTTCATGGTTTTCTTATCCTCTGCTCATACTTCCTATGGGCACTATTCTTTTTTTTTTTTTTTTTTTTTTGACAGGCCGAGTTAGACAGTGAGAGAGAGAGACAGAGAGAAAGGTCTTCCTTCTGTTGGTTCACCCCCCAAAATGGCTGCCACAGCCAGCGCGCTGCGCCGATCCGAAGCCAGGGACCAGGTGCTTCCTCCTGGTCTCCCATGCGAGTGCAGGGCCCAAGCACTTGGGCCATCCTCCACTGCCTTCCTGGGCCACAGCAGAGAGCTGGACCAAAAGAGGAGCAACCGGGACAGAATCTGGCACCCCAACCATGACTAGAACCCAGGGTGCTGGTACCACAGGCAGAAGATTAGCCAAGTGAGCCACGGCACCGGCCCGGGAAATTTTCTTATCTGATCGTGTGACTTAAACCTCCATTCCTGAAGACTCTGTATCCTGTAGTGAGCCCACCTTTTTGAGTTGGCTCAATTTCCCATTGATCATTATTACTGAAAATGGGAATACTAAAGGATACCCCAAAGAGTCCCTTCGGTTCTATGTGCAGCCCTCCTTGCCATCACTGTGTAACAGCGACCTAATGGCTCTTTGGTGATGGGGGTCAGTCACCCCAGTCAGTACAGTAACACCATTGCTATCTCCTAGTTCAGCAGCATGAGTAACATCAAATAACCTGTTATTAGTTTCATAGAGCCATGACTTTATCCTCTAAAGGATTCCTCCATTGGGAACTAGAAACTCCAAACTCACAGAAACCATGGTCATAACAATGGCAAGCAAAATTTCATAAATGAGTTATCAGATAAAATCATGAGCAGGATCATCCCCACATCCACCTTGCCTGATGAACTATGTGTTTTAGCTTTGGAAGAAACAGCATCTCATATTAATCACTGATTCAAAGCACGGGTAGAACACTACAGGACAATACCTCAATATTTCAGGGAAAATATCTATGAACTAGTACTAAAATTGAGGCTTGTGCACCATTCCAGTTTCTACCAGGCCAACTGTTTTAGGACAGTGCAACACACAGCAAGACCAGAGAACTTTATAGAAATAAGCCAATTTCCACACTACCTTCAAGATAAAATGCATACCCTGGGTGAGACAATGTGTGTGATAGCAAGTCAGTGGATAAGATACTCTGCAAGTTAACCAAGCTGGCAGATTTGTAGAGAAGGGAAACAAATCTGTATCAGAACGTTCTATCTTCCCTAGGAAAAGGTGCTGCCACATTTATGATGGAGTCTAATATAACCAATCAGCTAGTATCAGACAGCTGGGCTGGTCTCCTTGGGAAATAGTGGCACACTGCAGGCTTAGAGTTGGGCCTTGCCGTGACAGGCTGGGCACTCAGTGCTGACTACAGCCCAGCCTTAGTATGATGATACACATGCTACTGAGTCCATGCACAGTCTCCATTCCTGTAGCCGGGGCCACTTTGTAGTTAGGTTCGCTAAGTTAGCAAAAAGGTGACCAGGGAAGGTATCTAACATATCAGACAATATCATACAGACAATATCTTATCATACATACCATATCATACAGACAATCTGGTCATCTTGGCCATGAGATTACTGACAGCCTGTTTTGTATAGGATGCACTCTGGCCAGCATTTACCTCCCAGGTAAAAAACTTCACACCTATAACATAAATTAAGTCTTCTAATTCTTCTGTATTTTATATTTTATTTAAAAATTGCTTAATACAGGGTTTTAATTGCCTCTGCTTTCAGAGACTTTTTCTTTCGTTTTGGTAGCAAACCTTTAATCTGACCTAATGAGGAAACAGGGATAATCCTCAAATTCATTCATCTCAAGAAAATAGTGTTCACCTCATTTGTAAGTGTCGTCATTACGACAGGATACATCCGGCCAGTTTAAAGGTAGATTTTGAGATTTGCAAATCAAATAAAAGTATAAATATAGAATTCAAAATTATATAAAAATAACTAAAATAACTGTATAAAAATAAATACATGTATAAGTTAAAGAATCTCTAAAACAGTAAGAGGGGCTCTTCTGAAGGTTTTATTATTATTAGGACTATTATTAATATACTGGTAAGGATTTCCAAATCCTATCCTTGTCACAGTTTGAATTTGTAATTAAAACTTATAATCAGGGGCAGGCATTTGCTGCAGTGGCTATGGCACCACTTGGGATGCCCACATCCTATACTGGAATGCCTGGCTTGGAGCCCCTGCTTTGCCTCCAATTCCAGATTCCTGCTAATGCACACCCTGGGGGACGCAGGTGATAGTTCCAGAACCTGGGTTCTTGCCATCCACATGGGAGACCCAGATAGAGTTTGAGGAGTAGACCAGCATATGGATGGGAGATATTTCTCTCTTTCTAAATACAATGAAGATAAATTAATAAAAAATCTAATACTGATACAAACATTAATAAAACACTCCTCTGAAAAGAAATTAAATCGACAATGACAAATAGCAGAATGACATCTCATTTTGTATTCAATTCCTTCCAAAGTTGTGTTGTTTTTTTTTTTAATTTATTTGACAGGTAGAGTTATAGACAGTGAGAGAGAGAGAGAGAGACAGAGAGAAAGGTCTCCCCTCTGTTAGTTCATTCCCCAAATGGCCGCTAAGGCTGGCTCTGCACCGATCTGAAGCCAGGAGCCAGGTGCCTCTCCCTGGTCTCCCATGCAGGTGCAGGGGCCCAAGCACTTGAGCTATCCTCCACTGCCTTCCTAGGCCACAGCAAGAGCTGGACCAGAAGAGGAGCAACTGGGACTAAAACCTGGCGCCCATATGGGATGCCAGTGCCGCAGGCGGAGGATTAACCAAGTGAGCCACGGGGCCAGCCCAAAGTGGCTTTTTTTTTTTTTTTAAGATTTATTTATTTGGAAGGCAGAGTGAGAATGAGAGTGAGGGGCGGGGGGTGGAGAATCTCTTCCATTTACTGGTTTACTCTGTAAATGACCACGACTTGGGCTGGGCCAAGCTGAAGTCTGAAGCCTAGAACTCCATCCAGGTATTCCACATGGTGGGCTATGGCCCAAACACTTGGGTCACCTTCCACTGCTTTCCCAGGTGTATTAGCAGGGAGCCAGATTGGAGATGGAGCAGCCAGGACTCCAACCAGTGTTCATGCGGGATGCTGGCATTGCAAGTGGAGGTTTAAATCATTGAGCCACAACACCAGGCCCCAAAGTGAAGTCCTTAATTTGCTTTGATAGTTTTAATGCTTTGCCTTCTGCCAAATTATTTATCACTACTAATGCTGTTACTTCCACTATCATGTTATTATTAGAAGAAAGTTTAATGCTTTTCTCTCATTATTTTCTTCCAGGTTACATTTATGAGCCTAAAGCATTAGGGAAAAAAAGAAAAGTAATATGCTAGATCTTCCAAGAAAAGATGAAAGAGAAAAAGAATAAGGAGAAAGAGGAGGGAAACACCAATAATACATTCGGAAGCAGTGGTGCTGTCCACTTCAGGCAATCATCACAGAAATGTTCAGCCACTGGGTTAACCTAATTTAAGTTATAGTCAGAATGCAAAGAAAATAATCCCTAGGTTCAAAAGGCAGTATGGTATAATGACTAACAGACTGAGAAGCCACACTGGGTGGATCTGAATCCTGACTTCCACATTTATTAGCTGTGTGATACAAAGTGATTTACTAGCTCAGTCTGTAACTAAGTTTCATCATATGAAAAATAAGGATAATATTAGTGCTTACTTTAGAGGACAAGGCAAAGATTACTTGAGTTATGTAAGCAATTAAACACAGTGCCTGTCCCATAGTAAGTACTTTGTAATCATTTAGCTATTATCACTTGGACAACAACTTCTTCTGTCAGAATAAAACAATATCTGCTTAACTTATTTCTTGTTTGTTCAACAGAAAACGTTCTGATGTTAAAACAACAACTGACTGGAATGCTCCAATCATATGGGAAGGAACTTATAATAGAAAGGTTCTGGAAGAATATTATAAGAGGCTGAATATTACTATAGGCTTGGTTGTATTTGCTCATGGAAAGTAAGTGCTACTATTTGTTCATTTTTATTTGGAAAAAAAATAGGATGAGCACATGTGGACTTTCTACATCCACATAACTAATATAATTAACCCTAATAATTATTTCTGGCTGACCTACATAACTATTTATAGCGGTTATTTTCTCCATCCTTGGCTGAGTCCTTAACACTACTTGGGAATCTCTTCATCAGTATCCCTTAGGTTTTCTTTCCCTTTATCCACAGCAAATTTTATGGCTCTTCTCAGGTCTTCAAATTTACTGCAGTCTATTTCACTAACCAATACAATGGAAGCTGTAGGTTCAGCTTCTTCCTATCCTTATCTTGTTTTTAATTAATTAATTGAGAAGACAGAGACAGAGCTCCCATATGCTAGTTCACTCTCCAAATGCCCACAATAGCTGTGACTAGGCCAGGCTGAAGCCAGGAGCCAAGAACTCAACTCAGGTCCTCTATGTGGGGTGGTAGGAAATCAATCACCTGTCCCATCACCTGCTGCCTCTCAGGAGCACATTAGTAGAAAACTGGAACAAGGAGTGGATTTGGAATATCAACTCAGGCTCCCCTGTATGAGATGTGTACACCTCAGTCAGTGTCTTAACTGCCAGGCCAAATGCCTGTCCCTATCCTAATCATCATTGACACTTATGTTAGACAGCATGTTTAAATGGCATGTTTTCTGCTGTAATTTTTTACAAAATAATTTTTTTCTGTTTTCTTGTTTCATTTTTCACAGACTTGCTAATTGGCAATTGAAACAGTTCCTGCAATCTGCTGATAAGCACTTTATGGTTGGCTACAATGTTATTTTTTATATCCTCATTGATCATGAAATCACCAAAACACCTATTTTAGAATTAGGCCCCCTTCGAACATTCAAGATATTTTATACTTACAAAGAAGATACATGGAATGACCCTGATTTCATATACATGATGAACTTAAGGACATATATTATAGATTACATCCAGTTTGAAGTCAATTTTCTCTTTTCTATGACTGCAAATCAGATCTTCAAGAATGACTTTGGAGTAGAAACCCTGGGCAGAACTGTAGCTCAGCTTCACTCATGGTGGTATTTTCAGAATGTTAATGATTTCCCTTATGAGAGAAGACACAGATCATCAGCTTTCATCCCATATGGACAGGGCGATTTTTATTATCATGGTGCAACTTTTGGTGGCAAACCCCATGAGCTTTTAAGATTCTTTAACGAATATCAAACAAGAATTAATTTTGATGCCACAAATAAAGTTAATAGTACATATGAAAAGCACCTAAACAAATATCTTTTTGTCAATAAACCCACTAAGCTATTATCACCAGAATACAACTGGGATCCAATTTTTAAAGCTCCTCCACAAATTAAGCAAGTTAAGATAGCATGGCAGCGAGAAATGAGTTGATCATTATATAACTAGGATTATTGATTAATAAGTGATTAATAAGTAATATCTCAGATATAAAACCCATGAAATTTTTCAAACTCTTAGAAACTTAGAAAAATGTAAAGTTTTCAAAAAAATTTTCATTCTTGCAATTTTGAGCCTTCTAATTCTACTTATGTTGGATAAAGAATAAATAAATGATAACATGGTGTTACATATGTATTATAAATAATATATTACATGTGTATTATAAATAATTTAGAAATGCTTTTGGAGTTACGAATGATTTTTTGTGAAGAAACACGCTCAGACTCTACTGTAGTGCAGAAGCTTAATCCTCTGCCTGTGATGCCAGCATCCCATATGGTTCTAGTCCTGGCTGCTCCTCTTCCAATCCAGCTCTCTGCTATGGCTTGGGAAAGCAGTAGAAGATGGTCAACTCCTTGGGCCTTTGCACCTGCATGGGAGACCCAGAAGAAGTTCCTGGCTCCTGGCTTCAGAACAGCTCAGCTCCGGCTGATGCAGCCATTTGGGGAGAGAACCAGCAGATGGAAGACCTTTCTCTCAGTCTCTTCCCCTCTTTCTCTGTAACTCTACCTCTCAAATAAATAAATAAGATCTTAAAAAAATTAAGAACTAGAGTTAAAAGAACTTTTTATCTTAACCCCCTTCTATGGGGGAAAAACAAGTTTAGTAAGTATTCTGTAAGTGAAATGCATTATTGCTTATTAAAACATTTAAAATCATAAAGAATATTGATGATGCCTATGGCAGGCACACTCTGCGATGGCACCTAATGATCCACTTCTCCTGGTATTCATGTCCTTATGTGAGTCATGGCTGCTCCTCCTCTTCACCTGGAGTGTGGGATGAATTCCTTATAATTAGTAGAAAATGAGAAGTCATTTTCATGATTAGTTTACATGTGACTGTACTCTGTCTCACTAGTAGACCTTCTTCCTTTGCTGCCTTTGACGTAGGAAGTTGCCATGTTAGAGAAGTCCTCATAGGAAGGAACTGAAGGCAACCCCCATCCAATAGCCAAAAAGGAGCTGAGACTCTCAGTCAGTTCAACCACCCTCAAGGAACTGAACACAGCTGACACCACAAATGTACACTTCGAAGCAGATCTTTACCCAGTCATGTCTTCAGGTGAGGCTTCATTGCTAGCCAACACCTTGATTACAGGCTTGTGAGAGACCCCAAGGCAGAAGACACAGCTAAGCCAGGCCCAAGTTCCTGACCCACAGAGTGACCTATGCTCAGTGTTTCCTGTTACAGTTTGGATATGGCTTGAGTGTCCTCCAAGGTTTCATGTGTGGAAATTTAATCTTCACACTTGATCTTAGCCAAAAGGCTGAGAAATTATAGAAATTTAAATTGTCAGGTATTAAGAGGATGAAAAATTAATATTAATGATTATGGTATTTAGAGATAGGGCCTTTGGGAAGTGATTAAGACTAGATAAGGTAATTAGAGTAGATCTCCTGTGGGTAAGAAGAGGGAGACAAGAAGAGACACCAGGTGTATGCAAATCCTTCTTTCTTGTCGAGTGACAGCCTGCACCACTTCAGGGCTCTGCTTTCTAGAAGGCATTATCAGTTGCAGCCTCTTGCTCTTATACCCCAACCAAGAATCAAAATAAACCTCTTTTCCTGAAAAGTAGTCTGCCTCAGATATTCCATCACAGTAACAAAAAGCAGACTAGAATCCTCTCTCTCCACCACCATCAGCAGAAGACAGCCCATAGACACAGATACACTGGGGAGATTCAGAAGCTTTGGGCACCAAGGGACTTTGAGAACAGGCTCTGGGAATACTCTCTGTCCCAGAGGCCCTGTCTGTCCCGTAGGCCCTGTCTTCTCCACCCCTCACCTGGTAGCACTTGGCACTGGGGATCTCAGGAAAGCACCTTCTACCTCTTCCCATAACCCGAGGAGGAATTAAGCCAGAGCTCCACTGGCCTTGGCTGGCCCGGAAGGCAAAGCACTTCACAGTCCCATGACTCAGCATCTCCATGCTCCACCTAGTAGGACAAGACCTGAGAAATCACACGCCACTTCTTCAGGCAGTATCAGCAGGATCAAGCAAAAGCCTCAGCAGTACCAGGGAAACAAAGCATTTCAGAATAGTTCTGTATCAGCTCTGAAACCTATTATCGCCATCCCAAAAGGAGTAGGCCAGGAACTATGTACTGTATTAGTTAATGTTCTCCAATGAAACAGAGCCAATAGATGGAGATCCCACATATATAGTCCCTTAACTCAATCAACATGTAAAATTAACTATCACATATGATACAGATGATTCCATTTTATGATACTTTAAAAAAGACAAAACTATAGAGATAATAAACAAATCAGTGATTGTCAGGGGCTTGGGGAGGGAGGGTTAAATAAGTGATGCACAGGATTTTTCGGTGGGGGGGGACCATATCTGTATGAAACTGTAATGATGGATACATGTCCTTATGTATGTGTCAAAATCCATAGAACTACAGTTCAGAGTGGACCTTAAACACACAAGAACTTTTTTAAAGATTTGTTTATTTATTTGAAAGGCAGAGTTACAGAGAGGCAGAAGCAGAGGCAGAGAGAGAGAGAGAGAGAGAGAGAGAGAGAGAGAGGTCTTCCATCCACTGGTTCACTCCCCAAATGGTGCAATGGCCAGAGCTGGGTCAATCCGAAGCCAGGAGCCAGGAGCCAGGAGCTTCTTCCAGGTCCCCCACATGGGTGCAGGAGTCCAAAGACCTGGGCCATCTTCTACTGCTTTCCCAGCCCACAGAGAGAGCTATATTGGATTATAGCAGCTGGGACTCAAACCGGTGCCCATGTGGGATGCTGTTACTGCAGGTGGTGGCTTTTCCCACTATGCCACAGCACCAGTACCCAATGCACAAGGATTTTTAAAAATTATATGGGAGGTCAGGAGATCCTCAGATGAAATGTAAACAGTGACAAAAGAGTCTAACTGTATGACAAATAAATGTATATAATGACCTCAGTGGAGAGGTTAAGAGAAAATATGTTGACCTAACTTTGAAAAGTAACTTAAGAAAAAAGTAGAGACTTTAAGATCAAAGACAAAAAGAATATACACTTAGAACCAGACTCTAACTGGTGAATATTGTTTCCTTTGGGGTGTAGGTTAACAATTCTGAAATCAGCATCAGTGGATATACTGGAATTGAACAATTAAGTAAATGGATGGCAGATGGTGGGAGCCAGATTTCTCAGTCTTACGTGAAGTTACAGACAAGCAAGAGAGGAAGCCAAACTGATCTATATCATATGGATGAGAATTGGAGACATGAGTATGAAGTCATGTCTAGCTTAATATACTTACAAAGGAATATATGTAGAAATGTTTATATACACATACACAGGTTAATAGAAATACCTATGTTCCCTTATTCTGTCAACTGGGAGAGGCTTAGAAACAATGACACTCCAGTAGCAACAAGTAGAACTAGTACCCAGATCTTGGTTTCTGATACAATTCTTAAATAGAAAGAACCAGGGATCCTTGAAGAAATGGCTGATTCCAGACCATAGATGGGGAATATAAGATGAGCCTAGAGTATCTTCTGGTTCCAGAAAGTAAAGAAGTGCTCAAAAAGAACCCAGTGATGGGAATATGCCAAAGGGACACAGAAGCCAACTAAAGAGTTTCCAATGGAAAAAAAAATTTAAACAAAATAAATAATGGAGCATTGGACTCAAATACAAAGTACAAAATAATGTCCATTAGTTCACATAGATATGAAAAAATGAATGCCTGAAGAATCTCTAATGATTTATGCAAACATTCTGCCCTCAAAGAAGTAGAGAATGCACCCCACTTATTGTGAGCCATATGTAGTGGTTTCCTTCCAAAGAAAACAATATAGAAATGGGGACAAAAAGGGTAACTTTACAGTGGAGAAACTTAATGCAAACTATCTCAGCCAAATTATCAAGGTTAATGTCAAAGGTGATAAGCCATGTTGAGTAACGTGTCCTTCACATGATGTGATGAGAATGGCACTGTTATGGGTTGCACTGTATCCCCAAAAGAAATGTGTTAAATTCTAAACACATGCCTTCTGAATGTGACCTCATTTGAAAACAGGGTCTTTCAGGTACAATTATTTAAAATGAGGGCTTAGTCTGACTGGTGTCCTTAAAATAGGGAAATAATGAGACAGACATGCAGAGATGACCCCATTACAGCAGAGGCCTATGGTCTAGATGTTGAATGTTGCCAAAGTCCCATGTGTGAAAGGCTTGGTCCCCAGGGTGATACTATTAGAAGATGTTAGGAGACTGGGGTTGTGATACAGCAGGTAAAGCTTCCACCTGTGATGCCAGCATCCAATATGGGTGCTGCTCATGTCCCAGCTGCTCCACTTCTGATCCAGTTCACTTTTTTTTTTTTTTTTTTTTTTGGACAGGCAGAGTGGACAGTGAGAGAGAGAGAGACAGAGAGAAAGGTCTTCCTTTGCTGTTGGTTCACCCTCCAATGGCCGCCGCGGCCGGCACGCTGCGGCTGGCGCGCTGTGGCTGGTGCACCGCGCTGATCCGAAGGCAGGAGCCAGGTGCTTCTCCTGGTCTCCCATGGGGTGCAGGGCCCAAGGACTTGGGCCATCCTCCACTGCACTCCCGGGCCACAGCAGAGAGCTGGCCTGGAAGAGGGGCAACTGGGACAGAATCCGGCGCCCCGACCAGGACTAGAACCCGGTGTGCCGGCGCCGCAAGGCAGAGGATTAGCCTAGTGAGCCGCGGTGCTGGCCCCAGTTCACTTTTAGTGGCCTGGAAAAGCAGCAGAGGATGGTCCAAGTGCTTGGGCCTCTGCCACCCTTGTGGGAAATATGGATGAAGCTGCTGGCTCCTGGCTTTGGCCTGGCTTAGTTCTGGCTGTTGTAGCCATTTGAGGAGTGAACCAGCGATGGAAAATTCTCTCTCCCTCTCCCTCCCTCTCCGTCTCTCCCTCTCTCTGTAGCTCTGATTTTCAAATAAATAAATCTTTAAGAGGAGAGGGACGGGGAGGGAGGAGGAGAAAGAAAGAAGAAATTGGAACCTTCAGGAGGAGGGAACTTGCGGAAGGTCCGCAGGTCACTGTCAGATGTGCCTTCAGAAAGTACTTCTCACGTGACTCCTTGAGTTCTGGTGAGTGGACTGTTATAAAAGTCTGTTTTTGAGCCCACTTACTCTCTGCTTCCTGGCTTGCCATGTGATCCTTTCTCTGTATATACTCCACCAACTTCCAGCCTCCAAAACTGTAAATTAAATAAACTTCTCTTTCCTTCATAAGTAGCTTATTCAGGTATTACATTGTAGTAATGAAAACCTGACTAATACAGAGTGTAGCACAGCTAGTCTGAAAAATATCTTGGCAGCGTCTTAAAAATCTAAACATATGGAAGTTGGCCCAAGTTACTGTGCTACACCACACATGTGGGAGACCAGGATGCAGTTCCTAGCTCTGGGCTTTGGCTTGACTCAACCCCAGCCACTGAGGCCATTTGAGAAGTGAACTAGCAAATGGGAGATTCTCTCCCTCTCTCTCTCTGTGTCTCTCTTGTCATTGTGTCTTCTGAATAAATAAATCTTTAAATATATATAAATATAATATATAATATATTAGATTATTATATTGTTAATATAATATATTATATTAATATATTAATATAATATGAATACAATATATTATTATATTATATAATATATTATATATGTGTGTATGCATATATATACATACACACACACATATACAGCAGAAGATTGCTCAAGTGTTTGGGCCCCTGCTTCCTTTGGGAGTCCTGGATAAAGATCCTGGCTCCTGGCTTTGGTCTGGCCCAGCCCTGGCCACTGCAGCCCTCAGGTAAGTTAACCAGTGGATGGAAGTCCTCTCTCTCTCTCTCTCTCTGTAACTCTGCCTTTCAAATAAATAAAGAAATTTTTTTAAAAAATGTGACACTCCTTGCCCTACCAAATATTAAAGCTGATTATAAAGTTTAATAATAATGAAGGCATATGATATTGCCATGGAAGTTGATAAATAAACCAATAGAACATAACCCAGATATGCAATGATCCACATATAAATGGAGACTTTATATATTAAAGCAATAGCACTGCAGAGTTCCAAAAAAAAAAAAAACATATCTTTTAAAAAAGATATCTTTTCGGCTTAGCTCACTAGGCTAATCCTCTGCCTGCGGCGCTGGCACACCGGGTTCTAGTCCCGGTCGGGGCGCCGGATTCTGTCCCGGTTGCCCCTCTTCCAGTCCAGCTCTCTGCTGTGG